CTCCCCCAAGGGGGAGGTATAACGGGAGGATGTACAAACGTAGGTGTGCAGCGTAAAATATGGCGATCGGAGAGTTTTATCTTTCACCAGGTACCTTTTTCACGAATTTCACGTTCCCCGTTTGCAACGTGCAAAGTTTTCGAAGGTGTTCTCGTAACTTGTAACGCGAACTCGACGAGTGTATATATATATATATATGTATTTTCTTTCTTTTTCCAACATGGAATCATGAGCAGAGTCGTAGATTATCGGACGTAACGAGATCGTTGTATCGATGAAACGGCTTCGCACGGTTTTGGAGACGACGTAAGTGGTTAACCCTTCGCACTCGAGCCTTTTCCCGGCTGAATCTTACGGCGACCCGAACGTTTTTGTCGAAAATATAGCAAAGTATCCGAAGAGTTCGACCGAATTATTTATCCGTGCCCCAGATGCTTTGGATAGGGTTGAGAAACCAAATGGGTCAGAAATGCGGTCCTTTCCGAAAAATTTTTGTAATCGTTGGAAAAAAAGATTGTATTTCATGTTTTCGACTCATCTTTTTAACGTAGTATTATAATTTTTAAATCGTATCGAAAGAATTAATTTCTGCGTCATTTGCATATTCATCAGGAATAAATTTATCATTACATTTGCCTCTGTGAGTTATAGCGCCAAATTTCGTCCGTCACTGACTGAGAGGAATACTTCAAGTGAAAAGGGTTAATAAACCTGGCGAACCTCTACCATAATACATAAATTTCCTGAAAATCGATGACTTAATTCGAGTAACCGCTTCAACTTGCGCGAGGGGCAGGGGGGAAGGGCGTCGAAATGTAAATGGTGGTGGAAATGCGATCTTACTTTGAATTATGCGAACACGGGGAAAAAACAAGCGCAACGTCGCCATGCAAACAACGTATTAATCCGTTACCCCGACGTACGCATATTTCAATGTACTAAACAGCGAAAATATCTCGATTATATCGGTAATTGCTATTCTTCATCGCAATTTTACCTCCCGTTATTTATTCCCGAATTTACGTCTTTTTGTTTATACACGTTCTCCCCGATTATTAAATTTCGTTCTCGCGTTATAGCCATAATAATGGAAACTAATATCGTACATAGACGTGTCTGGTAAGATAGATCGGCTGAATATAATACAATACGTTCGGCTAACATAAAGGCCAACACGAAAATGCTCGCGAGCAGAGTTCCTCTATACCGACACACACGCCGCCAATGAAATTCACGAACGCATCGACTGCCCGTCGATCTTTTGTTCCACGAGTGAACGTAAAAATTGCGCGGAGAAACGAAGCAATGGTTTTACATCGAAGGGAAAATTATGCTCGTCGGTTTCCCTAGACGAACCGTGCCACAGACGCCCCACCACTGCGATAAAAGTATGCATCTGTATTGTCAATACGACACCGACGCGTATATATACACCAACACGTATGAACGCTCGTCTGTGTTTCCCTAACGGTCGCGGTCACGTGTTCCGATCCAACGACTCGCCGACACGAGCGCGAATAACGGTATCGCGTATACGAATCGTCACAAACACTTTCGTCCAATGAAATATTTCTCGAGTTTCCAAATGCTCACGCGACACCACGATTCTCATAATATCGAGAAAAAATTTGTTAAACACTACTCACATTTTTCGCGTTTATCGATAGCTCAATTTAAAGCATCGAGGAAATACAAATTAGTAACTAATGTTCGATGTATGTACGATAAACTTCCTTCGAGCAGAAACACGCGGGTTATTCGGAACTCTGGAATATACACAACGATGCACAGACGGGTCTGTACATTCGCATTTTCTACTCGGGGTAACTTGAGTCGGTCACTAGTCCCTGGCGAACACGCGGGGAGAGCCATCTATCAGCGGGTAACCTCTTACGGAACAGTCGAAGGTATCCTTGGAATTTTTGAGACACCTCGAAAATTCTTCGAGATCCGTCGGACGAGGTTTTCGATATTTCAATTAAATCGGGATTGGATAATACTTTCCACGGAGATACACGTGGCAAATGTGTAAGAACTCTCCGCGATCGCCCATAAATTGCACGTTGTTCGGGAAACGGAGCTAGAATCGAATCTTCCGTCAGCACGGAATTGATTCTCGCGCGGAACGATTTCGCGCCGTTTCCCGGAGCGAAGTTCGTGTTGCGGCAATACACGATCCGCGTCTTTCGATCTCGTTGAATTATATTTCTCGTAATTTATAAGCGGATTCGCGCTCTTTTACGCGTTCGCCGGGCTCTTCCGTACGACTGTCAACGCCATTACAGTTTCAAGCTAAAGACTACAAGATCACAAGGAACCGAGTCGAAAGCGTTCCTTAACTGCCAGAGAAACGGCGGAGAAGCAGCGAAAGAAGGCCAAGCGAACGTGAGGGGGAGAAAAGAAACGGAAGACGAAAGAAAAAGGAGCAAAAGAAAAAGTAGAAAAGAGAGAAAGAAAAAGAAGCAGCGGAGAAGAAGGAAGAAGCAAGGTTGAATGCACAATGCCGGAAGAGAAGTAAGAGAGAAGCGACGAAAGAAGAGGAAAGAAGAAAAGAGGAAGACAGGAGAGAAGGAAGAAGGGTGGTGGCTGGGAGGGTGGGCAAACGGGCTGATATATAAGCAAGCTATAGACACGCGACACAGGTAAGCGCGCACGCGCGCTCACACATACTGGAATAGAAAGGAAACACGAACGGGGAGCGTGTAGCGGTGTTCTAGCGGTGGTATAGCGGAGTTCGGAGAGGCTGCATGGGGCGGCTGCGTGCTCGAAGCTCGAGCGGCGCTCGCGCAATGTAGTCCCTCGGCTATCCTTGACGCGGGAGCATCGTCGTTTCGAAACAGCCGCGACCTTCTCCCGTCGCGCGCGTTCCGTGAAAACGTCAAACATCCGACACGCTCCTCGACACCGATTTTACCCGGAACGCGTAAATTCCGACGGATATACCTACCGGACAGTGACTTTCTCGTCAGTTTTAACAAATTCTAACCTAACTTTTATCTTTTTCCAACCTGCGTTGCACGTATATAGTTTCTCGAAGATCCATTCGCGCGATTTCGCGATACATTGTGAACCGACGATACGGATCGATCCTAAGGATGTGTTACAGTGACGTAACCGGTGAATTGTGATTCTCCCATTCGGTGTGAACGGTCAATGGGACATGGATAGAACCCTGACAAGGACATTGTGGTTTATGCTACGCGCGTTGAGCCTTGGATACACCACGCTTCTATAAATTGGTCGGAACGCTCGACTGTGCCGTTTCCACACGTGTCAGAGTCCAACGTGCAAACATCGACCCCTTGTACTGTTACGTTTCACGCTTCGATATATTCCAAGTATTCGAACGCCGTATCACACTCGATCTCGAGGGTCGCGTTAAAGTCGAAATTAATTCGGATTTACGAGCGGATGTCGTTGGCAACCGCTAACTTACCTTTAACATCGGAAATAGCGGCGAAAAGCAATCTCGGCTCGCTGGTGCATATTCCAAGTCGGTCACGAATTTCTGGCCCGAGGTCGAAACCGAACTTCTGGCGAACAATCGGCTGGTCCGCATAAAAGGCTCGTAACACTGCCGGTGCTTCATGAACGAAACTGGGTGACGTACGGTTATCGTTCTCTACCCGATCGAACTTGGCACGGGCTTCCTTTCGTCACGATTCACGCTGAATGGGCCGACCAGGACTTCGACGTGCAACGCGTACGCCTGCACGCGAGTAAATTTTCTTCGTATCCGCCGCCAAAAAATTCTTCACGTCATCGAGTCCCGGCAGCGACGGCGCATCCAATCAAACGTCCAGCGAGGGCCCAACGGTTTTAATCCACGAAACTAACCTGTGTCAGCCGTTACAAAACTCGAGTGTTGCAGCCAATTACACTGCCACGAACATCGTTACTGATTTCCACCCACGAAATTCGTACGTTTGAAAGGAAGCGGGGAGAAAATTTTTCGTTCTCGACACGAAAGCGGTTCGCGAAGGACTACTCGACGAGTCATCGGAATATAACAGTGCCGTTCCATCACAGCGCGACGATCTCAAGTTTCACGAGGCGTTGAAGGTCCCGCGGTCGTTCTCTGTCCCCGTCGCTTGTTTATACTTGGCGTCCCTTATCGGTTCGCCCGATGTAACGGCGCGAGGCACTGGTCACGTTCCTCTCCCCTCCGTCGCACCGATCAGTGGTCCTCCTCCCGGAGTGGAAGAAAGAAAGCCAAGTGGAAAAAGTGCGCGCGAATGCTCGTGAGGGATAAACAGGATAATTAAATTTCGATTAAGGAGCGAAGAAGTTGACGGGAAGGAAGCGAGAGAGGCGATTGGAAGAATGCAACGGAGAGAATGGACTGAGGGAAACCGCGAGAAAGAATGATCGATGGAATGTCTAGCGCGTCGGGGAAATTACTTTAACGAGTCCCGCCTAATGCATCGCGAACGACTTTGCGGTGGTGAATGCGGCGAGAAGCATAAAAGCGTCGACGGCTGCTCTTTCTCTCTCCCCGATCTTAGACGAGCACAAACTAATGCCATACCAGCGTCGACGAAATACTCCAGCCGTTAATTACATTCATTAGCGGTTCGCGCGCTATAACCTTGCGTTACATTTTCTGCCGCAACCGCGGAGAATAACGCGTCCGTGAATTCCCTCGTATCCGAAGCCGCGCCGGCGTTTTTGTTTTCGGAAAATAGAAAGAGAGAAACCAGGCGAACCAGGCAGAGGAAAAAAACCAGTAAACTCGGTCAAGTTGGAACATCGAAAACGTACAGTGTGTGCTCGGAAACGATTTTTGTGATTTCGTTAAACCGCGTACAGTGGTGTGTGTAAGCAAAGAATAAACTGCACGAACCAGTGGCCATTTTCGAAGACCGTGTCGTTGTCGTCAACCGTCGTCATAGACTATAACATAAGAGAAGGCCTAAGGGAAAATGCTGATGTAGTCGAGTAACCAGAAAAGACGGAAAAAGATTTAGAGAATCTCTTTCAAAAAGGCTGATTTAAAAAATGTCACCTCGTTCGAGAGACTGTCAGTGCTAGCGAACTCTTGCTTACGATGCGCGATTCGGCGGAACGGTTGAAATGCGTGTGAGATAGTATATCAATATGTGAAAGAACCTCGCCGAGGAAAAGCGATGTCTACTTCTCTTCCCATACTCGTCTGTTTTATCATTTCTTTTGGTAAGTCCAACGAACGTTCTCTTAACAACGCAGTCGTAGCGCGTCCGTCGACTCTCGCGTAGCGCCGTGAATACAGCCACGTAGAACTCTCGCCAACTTGCAGCCAACTTCGTGACGCAGCGCGCCGGAATAATCGAGAGAATCTTTTATCGTATACGAATTGGCGAGTATCGCGAATTTTTCTAATATCTAGAGAATATTCGTAATAATAAAATTGGGACCGTTGACTGGTGTCTTCCCGTAAATATATGCGTATGAAATATCGAGGCTGATTTAAAATTCTTGCAGTCTCCACGGGGTACAGCTTCGTTCTACACCGCCATGTTGGCTGTTTCGCGCTTGTTATCAAGTGCTAAATAATTTGGTCGCGTGGATGAGCAATTCTTTCCATCTCACCTAAGACGAACGCTTCATCTTTGAATTGCAAATCGACCGTTTTTCTACCAACTGACCCAGTATCTTGTATTATTCATGATATCCCTCTCGATTCTAGCAACACTTTGACACAACATTTCAGCCTGCGCGTACGTACGTCAGGGTGGAGCCTCGTATATCTTTCAGTTTGATTGAATTTGATGAATTCCAGGCTGATAGGGAACGGGAATCTACTTTCGAACCAGAGGCACGGCTACACCTAACCTCCTATTCACCCATCTATTTAATTTCCAACGTACTTGCCGATGAGTATTTCCATCTCTCGTGTTCCGACTCGACTCTGCCTTCGAGTATATTCAGTTTGCAATACTTCCAAACGGTGACCGAGTATTTGATCGAAAAATACGTCCTTTTAATCATCCAATAGAGCATCTCAATTAGCGAAACTTCCGAGTTTCCCGACTCGTTACCTCGTTATATATCTAGACTAGCATATCGAACTTTGGATCGTGTTTTAAATTATTAATTCACATCTTTCGTCAGTTACCTAATTACTCGTGTTCCATTTGTAATCAGAAAAGTATTACGATTCGAGCTGTGATCCAATTCAATTTCGTTTTTAGTGGAGGAAGAAAAGAATAACGGTGGTGCTCGTAATCGCTTTAAAAATTAAGAGCATCCTTTGTCATAACGCTTTCGTTTCCAGTTCACATTTATCACCGCCGTGTATTATGCAGTTGTCTAGATTGCCTAAAGAAAGGAATACTCGCGCGTTATGAAGAAAGAAACGCAAATCCTGCACGATTTCACGCACAAGTAATTCCTCGTCAGTCTTTGATCGCTCTTACTTTTCGCACCTCGAGATTTCCTCTGGAGAGCTGTTTCCTCAGAACTTACAATGCTTTTTCTTCACGGACGAATGACCACGGATATGAAAACCCGCAATGACGAACGTGGAGAAAATACGCGAATTATTTTCCCTTCATTTAACTTCCCGCTATACGATTCCCGCGCCATCTTAGTTTTTTTAGGTTATGTCAGGTTAGGAACTAACTGTTCCACATCGAATTTAACATTTTGAATTTATGGAGAAGCGAATTCGATTTAATCCAAGTCAAATCTTCCCTAATTATTCCCTATAATGGCCAAATGATAATTAATTCTTACGAGTATCGACCGTGAACTTTATTACGCAATTTATTTCCGGCGACGATCGTCGAACGAATGTATTTTTCGATATGGCGTCCGAGCGAACACTTGAGCCACGCGAATCACGGATAGATGACGCAATCTCGATACGATATTACACTCCTATACTAGCTTCTAAATACACGCGACAATCTCGTCGTTCGCGAAAATACACGCAAAAATATAGCAAATACATTCAACGCGAAGCGAAGGATAACGAGCTTCCCAAACGTCTCGTGTTTCACGCTGTAATAGCCATTGCCAACTTCACTATGCACGATATTCAAGGGTTTAGAGAAAATATGCTCGGAAGTTGCGTTACAAGCTGCATTCGTGACAATATTCTATATTTAGCAGTTACGATTTTCAATTGCTCTCGAAGAGATTGTAATTCGATCTTGTTTCGTGTTCACAAAGATACGTCTACTTCCGTCTAATGACGTCGTTACCGATCGGTTCGTAGTTTTCCTCCATACTGCCGTGCGCTTTTTTATCAACAGAGCCATTCCACAGCGGTTGCGGAGTTTGCGAATTTTCACCTTAACGAAAATGAGAAGTTACAGGGATTTCGTTCGTTTGTTAACTCTTTGCACCGTGATTTAATTCTCAAAATACGTGCACCGAAAAAATATTTCATTTTAGTTACTCGTTATGCGTTTATTTCATTTACCATAAAGTTACAAAAGTTTGTAAAATTCGTACGAATTTTACTTTTGTTAAAACGTGTTTAATACGGTTTTATTCGTTGTTTAGTACCAGTTCGCTACTAAATTTGTCGTTACATTGCAAAGGGAAAATTCGTGGCGAACGAAAGAGAAAAAAAAGCGAAGTTCACCTCCTATGCATTCGAGTCGAGTTCGTAACAAGCTCATATTATTTGCCGCTAGAGGCGGTGGGAGAGCTTTCCGCAAAAAGAAGGTTCGATAGATGGCAGCATATCCGTCGAGATTAAGTGGATACGGTTGACCGATTAAATGGCCGAGTGGAGATTCGAAAGTCGGCAAAATGATCTGGCAAAGTGCGAAACATTCGCTGTTTGTCTTACGCTTTTCGGTATGCGTAGTCGGCCAAAGAACGGAAATTAGTTGGCAGCGAGCGCAACGCCCGGTCGCAACGCGTTTCCAGGTAAACGGTTTACGTCCTACCAGCGCCGGGTGCTCATGGAAATTCGTCACGGTCCGACCGGACACGGTTTAGCTTCCTCGCAGCCATCGAAGCGAACGTCATGCTTCCAAGTTACCAAACGCTCCCTTTGTTTCCCAGATAAAGCGATTCCAATTTGAAGTAAAATTCTTGATTCGATCTTCGCCTCGGTGGTGTCGCTACTCGAACGGTCGCATTGCCCATCCGTTCTCTTGTTCCGCTGTGATTTAACGTAATTGAATTTATCCCGAAAAAGACAACTTCGAGGTTACCGAATCCACGATCTTTTTTTCCCAACTTTATCCCCGTGTCTCGTTGGGAAATCGACCCGTGCTTGCTTTCTCGCTTTATTCGCTCTTGTTTGCCGCCGTTTGTTTATCTATTACCGAACGGGTACGTGGCGTATCTCGGAAACGAAACGTCGGCCATTGAACCGGTCGCGTCGAAGATGTCGCCACTAGGCAGTCGCCTGTGTGTTTGCAAACAATCGCGAAGCACAGTAGACGCGTAGAATAAAGATGGTGTCCGCGTATTCGTCCAGTAGGCATAACGACATACGGCGTTAAACGACACCCGCGAATTTACTTTGATCGTTCGTCAATAGGGACAAATCGCAGATAGCAAATGGCCGATGGGATCTAGTCTGCGAGGCATTTATATGGCGATAGGTAGTCGTGAAAGCAGTCGCATTTATGACGTTATGGCGTGAAACGACGCACGTAATTCCGGGTCGGTGCAACGTCGGTTTACCGTCGGTTTACCGTCGGATTTCGTCGGCACGGTTCACCACCTAACCTAACTGGTCCAAGATTCGTCCGGACAAAGCGGCGCGTTAACGAAAATAATGATTCTCCGCATCATCCCTGCTCGCTCACAAAGGCTCCTGGATTAAAGTATCCGGCGAACCGTGGCCGATCGATGGAAAATACCGATTTGTCCGGGATGAAGCTAGATACGAGCTTCTCTCCTTCGGTTACCAGTGGCCGGCTGTATATATACCTGTCGTGTATCTACGAACCGTTTCGAAATACCGAACCCTGTAATCGACCCTCTCCAGGAGGCTTCACTGCCTCATCCATTTGCAAAGGTGAACGCTCGATAATGTTTGATTTAGACGCTTCTTACTTTCTTACCCGATAGATTTTAGCTAATTCCCCAAACGAACCGTCGTTTTATCGATCTCGCTTGACGAGAAAATTAAACCGTTCTCCCTCGTTAATTCCCACGTGGCGAACCGGAGTGCCGTCAAGAGGCCGATTTCGTCTGCTTTGACAGTCCACGCTCCCGGTCTCCCTGTTAGCCTTTTTTCGAGCTTCCCGGTCGATTCAATCGTTCGTTTGCTTTTCATTACTCGCCTCGGTACCAGCCGCTCATTGCCCACGGACGGAAAGCGGCTTGATTGGCGTTTTGGCTAATTTTCATTTTCCACGAATCTCCACGCGAATGACATACAAGCAACACGATGAGAGATTTAGTATCTACGGATTTGTCATGTGCCCATTTCTACGAATTCTACCCTCGACCACGTTCTCGTTGGTTAAATTCGATTCCCTATTAGTCCCGCTAGAATCAGCTATTGTTACCGACGATATCGACGCGTAGCGCAATGCCTCTCGATGTTGCGTCATTATTGACAAGCCAGAGGGCGCATCGATCGCCTACATCCGTTCTTTCGATTCTTCCAATTACTCAAGATGGCCGCGGCGCTCAGAGTATTTACTCGCGAATAGAGATATTCCAGACAAATAATAAAATATCGACGGGGTATAAGAGCACACAGGAAGCTTTCAGGAAAATACGACACGCGTTTTCCTTGGATGGAAGCGAAGCTACGAGAAGATTCGATATATACAGCTGGTTAAAATGGGTCTAAACCGAGACAGATGCCCTAGAGTGGTCGTTAAATGCCAGTTTTACTTAGCCACTTTCGAATAAATCAAACAGCATGTTTAGTCTCGCGTCTTGGAGATCGATACGGTTAAGGATAAAAAGATATTACGAATTCCGGAGAATATAAACGTTGGAACGTCTTGACTGGCGTTTTTCACTTGGAGTTTCACGGCCAACGTGGATCGTTGGAAACTATCGCGTTCGTTTCATCCTTTCCATCCATTCGATCGCTTTCAATTGGCCGTGTCGCCTCTTACAAAGGTTTCGTCGAGCGTTTACTAGTCCCGTATCTTTTTCTCTCGGAATCGAGCCACGGGTGTGCGTGTAACCGAGTATAAAGACAGAAACTTTTGAAACTTGGACGATCAGAGCATACGCGTTGACAATACTACGAGCACTTGATG